AAAAAAAAAAAAACTACTGAAAGAGTAATAGTTATGACCCTTCTGAATATGAAACAAGCCAAACACAAAATGATGGCATGTTTGAGTCTATTAGGATATTAAAAGGATATACAATAGAAAAAAATCAGTGTGTTTTACACTCTCTTGCCAGGTCTGATCCTTCAGCCAGAGCTGAGTTAAAGGTGGGACTTGATATAGGCCTGCCAATTGCCTTCAGTTTCTTGTAGCTCAACTGACTGTGAGAAAGTTGGGATTTACACAACACTTACTTATTGTAGAAAAAAGAGCTTTAACAGCTTTTAACTTGATCCCCTAAGAAAAAAGGTAAAACTTTAAGGCTTTTCTATTATTTAACTCCTGATACTCAGTGGACTACAGACTGAGGATAAAAGAAAAGAGACCTTATTTCAAAAACTAATACCACTCCAATTTTGTAGAAACAAAACTGTTATTCCACATTAATTTACATCTGTAAAAGCACATTACCACTAGCAAATACTATTACAAAAGTACAGGTGTAGTAATTGAAAGAACAAGAATAAGCTGATATGTACTTCCCCATATATATCACTAATACTCATATAAGAAATTATATTTACTGATAGATCATTAATCAACAAACGCTGTTATTTTATAAATCCAAAAGAAGCCATGTCCCAGGGCATAAGGCCCAGCTGCCTTAATTCCTTGATAGAAAAAGGTATGTATTTATAGACTTAGTAATTTCACTGAGTCTGCAGTGTCTTTAAGCTAACACCCTATACTGGTATACGGCAGAATAATGGCTCCTCAAGGATGTCCCTAACTTTATTCCCAGAACCTGTGATTCCATTCTGTTACATGGCAAGGAGGCATTAAGGTTGCAGAAAGAAAGTTGCAAAGCAGCTGACCTTAAAAAAGGAGATTATTTTCTGATTTATCTGGGTGGGCCTAAAGTAATCACAAGGTTTTTCAAAGGCAGAAGAGAGATTTAGCAGAGTTTGTGTCAGAGTGAGACAAGACAAAGACTTGACCAGGTATCGCTGGCTTTGAAGATGCAAATAGAGGGCCAGGAGCCAAGGAACCCCGGCAGCTTCTAATAGCCAGAAAAGGCAAAAAACAGACTCTCTCCTACAGCCTCCAGAATGCCCTACGGACACCTTAATTTTAGCACAGTGAGATCCATTTCAGATTTCTGATCTCTGGAACTGTAAGGTAATAAACTTGTGTGGCTTTTAAGCCAATGAGTTGAGGTAATTTATTATAGCAGCAATAGGAAACTAATAAAACTGGTTTTAAAACATGAACATGAATTCTCTGGCACTCATCCCACTAAGCGTATGTCCCTGCTCTGAATAGTGGTGGGCCTCTGTGACTTTCTCAATGAGCATGAGCAGAGTAAAACAAGTCATGCTGCAAGACTTCTTCAGCTACATTAAAAACAGCCCTCTTGGGACGCTTACTTTAGAATCCTGAGCTATGATGTAAGAAATCCAACTACTCTGAGGCCACCACCCTAGAAAAACCACTGAGAGAGAAGAAAGGGAAAGCGAGAGAAAGAGAGGGGACGAGCAAGAGTGTGCATGAGAGACAGAGTATGCGTGATTGATCCCAGGAGCCCAGGTGTCTGAGTCTTTTCAGTTGAGGTGCTAGTCATGAACGAGGAAGTCTTTGAACTATACTCAAAAATAATTTAATTGTACACTTGAAAATTATTGAGAGTATAATTGGATTGTTTGTAACAAGGGATAAATGCTTGAGGTGATGGATACTCCATCTACCCCGAGATTATTATGCACTGCATGCCTGTATCAAAATATTTCATGTACCCCCAAAACTATATATAGTTACTGTGTACCCACAAAAACATTTTTTTCAAAAGGAAATGAAAAAAAGCAGCTTTGAGATGATCAGCCTTCGCCATATCTAAGAACAACTATATAAAAGACCACAAACAAAAAATGGCCACTGAGCCCTTCCCAAATCGTTGACCCAATATCAAGAACAAAGTAAGTAGTTATCTTAAGCTGCTACGTTCTGGGGGTAATTTGTTAAATAGCAACAAATAATACCCTCAACAATCTATGCTAAGAAGTTATCTTTTCTGTTACTTAAAATTAAACTCAAAAGATAAGTGCTTTTATCAGTCATTTATGAAACAACAACCTCTCTCATTCCATATATATGTTTTGAACATAAGTTTTGAACCCAAATAGCACCTCACATTAGCACTTACCTTAATACCAAAAGTGAACACTGTCATTATGATTTTAAATATGAGTGCTAGGCATAACTGCCATATAGCTGAATATACTCCAATGCCTGCTGGACGATCAGGAATGTCATCGACAATTTTACTGGCATTCATGTCATTTCTGTAGTCACAAAGAGAAGAGGATTCCAGGGGGCCACAGTCTGTAAAGAGCTCTTTGATCAGTTCGCTGGTGTTTAGCCTAGTGTATGGATTAGGGAAGGCTATCACAGCAGTAATGGCTGCAACGATAATGACTTCCAGAACGGGGTACTTTCCAAATTTGGTGGACTTGCGTCGACGACACCAGGCAATATTTGCCCTAATGAAAAAGGCTCCCCAAAGCCCTCCAAATACCCCTAGGAGAATAAAAGGAAACAGTTCAAAAAGGTACCATGGTGTATGATACTCCACATAAAAAAGGACCAGACGGCTGTTACCAAATGGATTGATGGATCTCAAAACAAACGCAGCCACTAAAGCAGCAAAAAATGATCTCCATAATGTCTTCAGAGGAAAATAATAGCTAACCTAAAAAAAAAAAAAAGGAAAAGACAACTTAATGCTATCATTTTATAAGATGTGTCTGATATATTATAACTTGAATGGTAAATATCTTAGCTCTAAATTTTGCTGTAGTTAGAATTTACATACAATGGATTTTACTATAAGAAGAAAATTGATGTTATTATTATTTTTGGAGATGGTGATCGTCACTACAAAGTCACAGTATCAACTGATCATAAATGTCTAATAAATATTTAGAATACCTAGCACTGTTTTATTTTCAAAATGAGTTTCACATTCAATTCAATCACGGTGGTTAAAAATAAATGTACCGTCACCAATTCCTGTTAGCTTATAATGTATTTAATTTGCCTCTTCTGTATTAATAAAAGAGAATACAAACAACTAAAAGAAAAAAGTAAATTTAAAAACATTCTTGAACTAAAAGAGTTAAATTCCTAAAGGTAGAGTGTAAAATAGGGGTTCCCAGAGGCTGGGGGTGGGGAGGTGAGCAGGGAAAGGGGAGAAACTAGTCATTGGGTATGAAGTAACAGAGGAGGAGTAAGTCCGGGTGTTCTATCACACAGTAAGGTGATTACAGTTTATAATAATGTATTACATATTTCACATTGGCTCAGAGAGGATTTTAAATGTTCTCATCACAAGAAAATAATAAATATTTGAGGGTTTTGCTAATCACTCTGATATGATTATTCCAAAATGTATACATGTATAGATGCATCACATTATACCCCAAAAACATAAACAATTATTATTTGCCAAAAAACCCAGATTTTAAAATAAACATAAAAAAATCAAAACATTCCTGGTCACATTTTTATGTAAAAAGTCTTAAAACACCTATAAGAAATTAAAAGCAAAATAATCCACTGAAGTGACTAAAATTATTTCCTTAAACATCAGTAACTGTATCAGAAATAATTGCATGCAAAAAACTTTAAAACACAACAAAGGAATTAATCAAAATGTTTTAAATAAAAACTACTTGGGAGGCTGTGCCAGGAGAATCGCATGAACCCAGGAGGTGGAGGTTGCAGTAAGCCAAGATTGTGCCTTTGCCTTCCAGTTTGGCTGACAAGAGCAAAACTGCCTCACAAACAAACAAACAAACAACAACAAAAAAGCCCCACCAGCCTGGCCAATATCAATATGGCAAAATCCCATCTCTACTAAAAATACAAAAATTGGCCAATGGGAATAGATTGTGAAACATGTTTCACATGTCCTCTATCAAGTCAAATTCACAACTTCTTACTTTTAAATATAACAACAAAGTAAAGTGAAATTTTAAATAATTACTCATATTTATACATAAAAAAATAAATTTAAAAAATAGTTTCCTCCAGGTATGGAACATGAGTAACATTTACTTTTTATGTAAGAAATGAGTAGAAAACAACTTTAGAAAAATAATTTTGAAAACAAAATCTCTACCTATGACATCACCTATAAAACTGAAATGTGTGCTAAAATATATTTGTAATGATAATTACGTATAATTTTAATTGTTGTATTCTTTTTACCTACCTCCTCCAGGCTGAAAAGAACTCCTCCAATTGGTGCACCAAAAGCTACAGAAACCCCTGCAGCTGAGGCAGCTGATAGCACCTAGAAAGAGGATATGGCTTATTTCCTAATTCCTTAGAAATTCAAGCATACCGAATAAAAATTCTTCATGTCACTTGAATTTTCCAAGTGGCTTTTCTCAATTTAACTTGCAGGTTTGTTTCCTTGCTCCCTAAGCAAAGGGCAGGTATTCATTTATTCTATTAAGGTTTATCTTTTTCTCCTGTGCTTTAATTGAAAGGTCACACATTTACTATTCAGTTAAAAAACCATTTTTGCCAGATATACTAATGTGAATGTGGTGTAAAGAAGAGGCGGCAATGAATATAGACAATTTTCAAGATGTATGTTTGTGTAGTTAAGAGGGGAGGACAGTATCTGGGATGGTGGTTATTTTTCAATAGAATATCATTTCTTCAAGTTTTAGAGCTAACAGCTCCACCAGAAATAGTCTATTCCAAATCCTAGCAAGATATTCAGGGAAATGAAGACCTAGTAAGATTCCCCATATTTTACTACCCTATGCCCTCTGAAATGCTGCTAAAATACTGTTAATCTAGAGAGCCTCATTCTGAAAGCACACACAACAGCTTCTCAAATGACAGTCTCACCAAGCAACATCTCTACAATAAAATTAAAAGAAAAGAAAAATCCAAGAATACACTTCTGTGTCCTTTCTCTAGTTTACCAGTCTATCAGCTGGTCAGGGTCTACTTCCCACCAGTATAAAGCCAACTACACATACAATTTCACTAAGGTTTTATTTGTAATTATTTTTCTAAGAGTCTGTATTCCTTTTTTTTTTTTTTTTTTTTGAGACGAAGTTTCTCCCTTGTTGCCTAGGCTGGAGTACAGTGGCATGATCTCGGATCTGCCGCCTCTGCCTCCTAGGTTCAAGTGATTCTCCTGCCTCAGCCTCCCAAGTAGCTAGGATTATAGGCGCCCGCCACCACACCTGACTAATTTTTGTCTTTTTAGTAGAGACAGGGTTTCACCATGTTGGCCAGGCTGGTCTCGAACTACTGACATCAGGTGATCTGCGTGCCTCGCCTCCCAAAGTGCTGGGATTACAGGCATGAGGCACTGTGCCCAGCTAAGAGTCTGTATTCCTTTCACTACTTTAATCCAGCAAATATCCAAGTCTACCTACAGTATTTTTTCAAATGGTCAATTGTTACATTTCCAGAAAAGAAATTAGAAATAATCAAAATTAAGCTGTAAATGGTAAGAGCATGAACTCTGCAGCGAGGCTGCTGTGTTGAAATCATGGCTCTGCTACTTACTGGCTGTGTGACTATGGATATACAGCCTCTATGTGCCTCAGTTTTCTCTTCTCTAAACTGGGAATGTGATAATATTACTTAGCTCTTAAGGAATTGAGTACATATATAGAGAGTGCTTAGAACAGTGCCTGGCACCCAGTAAATACTTTCTACAAATTTGGTGAATTAAAAATAAATAAATATTTGTGTTAATTAAATTGTTGGCATTAGAATGTGGATTCTGCTTATTTGGGGAGGAAAGGGAGCAAATTTAACTTCCTTCCCCCCACCCACTAAAAGGAATGCAAACATATTTATTTATTTGAATGTCCTGATCCTGCATTTACAACCAAACTAACACCTATGTATCTATAACCCATACACATGTTTTAATCTGTTTCGTAAGTAACTAAGAAGCATTTAATTTAACAACATCAGTACTCTCCCCTCTTGTCTACATGAAACTATGGGGTCTTAATGCTTTCAACTAACAGTGAAGTCTTGCCATTTATACATATACTAAGGTGACAGAATAACAACGTCTTAAACATTAATTAATCACTACAGTGTGAATATTAAAATTTAGGTAAACTTAATTTCTAAGACATCTAATAAATTTTATATATATATATATATATACATATATATATATATATATATATATATATTTTTTTTTTTCTTTCTCTTTTTTTCTTTTTTGATGAAACGGGGTTTCTCCATGTTGGTCAGGCTGGTCTCGAACTCCCGTCCTCAGGTGATCTGCCCGCCTCAGCCTCCAAAAGTGCTGGGATTACAGGCATGAGCCACCACGCCCGGCAATTATATTTTTTTGAACTCAGAATGAGTAAGTAAAAGTCTTACCAAAAATGTCAAGGTACAACAGGAAGTAAAGGAATTGAATAGGGGAGGCAGATGTTCTAGCTCCATCTTAGCCACTGATTTGCAATGCTACAGGATGGTTTTGAGTTTCGTTTTGAACACACACAAATATATACCTACACAGTCGTAGGAGCAGTAATGTAGTAGATAAGACCACATACTTCAGGGTCAAAGAAAAATGAATTTTGATCCACATTACACCACTCACTAGGTATGTGGTCCAGGGCAAGTTAGCTGTTTTCAGGTCTAGTTTCCTATTCTATAAATGAGGGTAACAGGCCCATATTACTAAATTACTGAGGAACTAAGTTTTAAAATGCAAGTAAAGTATTTGCTACAGTAGCAGATACACAGAAAGTAATCAATAATGCTAGCTATTTTGTTGTATAGTAAAGTACTAGAATCACAATTATTCAGAGATGAAACTATGATGATCTGAAGTATTCCACTTTTGGAATATCTACAGCCAATGCAAGAACTATATTTTAATGTGAACATTAAAATGTACTAGAATTATTTCAATTGAAGATTAAACCATTTGATAAAATAGTCTACCTTTTTGGTTACAGTACATAAAAAACCCAACAAGAAGAAAAGGCTCTGCCAGTATTTAATGAGATTTTTTTTAAAAGTCGTATCTTAAAACCCAAAGATCTCTGTACTATCTAGTGCTGCAGATTTAGATTTGCAAACTAGGAAGGGACTGGGCTCCCAAAGTCTAGAGCTAATATAAAGGACACAGGAAAATACCCAGAGCAATCCAGAAACATCAGAGGAAATTCATAATACATATACGGTTTAAAGGTCTTGTAGAAGATCCAGGCTGGCCTGAAGAAACGGTAAAGGAAATTGCCTTAAACAATCAAATGAAAGGGATTTCCTACAGGAAAATCTCTTTTAATGTGAATTTCTGATTTAAACTTCAGGAGGTTCTAAAGGCCCTCAGAATTTCCCCATGGTGCTGGATAGCTTTTTTCATATCACATGTCACTTACACTGGCACCAGACACTGCCTCCAGGAGGAAAACACCACTGTTAGGATTTCCCAACCTCTTAATGTTGAAAGTTAAGAGTGAAGAACAAAGCTAAGCTTAGAAAACACATCAGAAGAAGAAAGATGTCATGTGAAGTGAAAACAGAAAGATCTTTGTGAAATGCAACTGAAACCCAGTGGACACCAGCTGTCTGTCTAAACCTTCTCTAAAATAAAAGACTCAGCAACACTGGGAATGGATCCTAGAGAGACGTTATAGATTATTCAGGAAAAGCAAAAGAAGCACCAATTAATCTCAAATAAAATAGTTTATCTGAATACAGAATTTACTATTTTTGCACTAAGAAATTCTTTACTTACATAAACTCTACATATAAACAAATATTTTTCAGTCAAATTAACTTACAAAAGACACTTACCTCCCTTTTTTTAGCTTCATTTGTGCTATACTTTGGAAAGAGGTAGGAAAAGATATTTCCGCAGCAACAGGCAACATGTACCAGGGGCCCTTCTTTTCCTAAACTCAAACCTGATGCCACAGCCAGGACTAATGTGATGGTTTTAATCATTAAAGTCCATTTTCCCAAGTAACCTCTGATGATGAATCCACTCAAAATAGTTTTAATCTACAAGGCAAAGATTAAGGCAGCTTAATTTCCTTTAAAAAACATAATTCCAAGTTACTTTCTTGTTTTATGCACAAAAACGACCTTGCAAATTTCAGCAACCTATAGAAAAATTTACTTAAATTTTCAGAAACTTTACCTATTATGCTACATATAATAAATTGATATCACAATCTAATTCTCTACCAAAAAAGGAGAGAAGGCAACTCTATCTTAGGGACAAAATCAAAATATCAGGCCATGTTAAAATGAATACAGACCTTAATTATAAGGATTATAATTACATAACAAAGAAAAAGGCAAACTGAAATATTTCTGTTGTAAAAGTAAGCATATTTTAAATATATTTTGGACATTGTGTCACGAATAAGAATATTATGTTTTCACTGAGCACTGTAATTATGTGGCATAGTTTTTATATATCATGAAGGATGAACTACACCTGTTATATACTGCATGACACTGCTTTTTATGAAAAATATTCTTAATAAAACTTTAAAGATCACTATAATTCCATTTTAAAAAGAAATACATTAGGAAAAAGTTGGTAACATTTAAATACAGAAAAATAAAAGAGAGAAAATAAATAAATTCAAATCAAGTTCAACCAATCCTATGTATAACTCTATTGTGATGAAAAATAAAACTCAAGTTTGTACTGTTCACTCACTATGATCAACTACTTTCTCAAAGCATAAAATGGCCAAATTCAAGAATAATTAACTTAACTAATCAAAAGGTGATTATAAACAGAGAATGAATGTATTAAAATCAGGGTCATAACAGCAAAACATCTACTAATCCATCAAAGAACGTTAGGTCACAAGATACTTTTTCCAGGCTCTTGATGATAACTAAATCTTCCGAAAATTTGCCTAGTCATGTGTTAAATTAGTGTGACAGAAAAAAAAAAAATCAACCTCCGGCTGAGTGTGGTGGCTCATGTCTGTAATCCCAGCACACTGGAAGGATGAGGTGGGCAGATCACCTGAGGTCAGGAGTTCGAGACCAGCCTGATCAACAGGAGAAATCCTGTCTCTACCAAAAACACACAAAAAAATTATCCAGGTGTGGTGATGCACGCCTGTAACCCCAGCTATTCAGGAGGCTTAGGCAGGAGAATTGCTTAAACCCAGGAGGCAGAGGCTGAGGTGAGCTGAGATCTCGCCATTGCACTCCAGCCTGGGCAACAAGAGTGAAACTTCATCTCCAAAAAAAATAAATAAATAAATAACCTGCATAGCAAATGATCAAATGACTATGGAGAACAGTATTTTTCAATGATGTTTACAGCTTGTACTTAAAATTTTTTTTCATATTATGAACAAACCATCCCCTCCCTCCCTTTAAAAAAAAAAGCCTACTTTTTTTTTTTTTTAATCGCTAAGGGCAAAAAGATGAGCATCATAATAATGTTTAATGACACTAAATATTACTTGGCTTACCTCTGGAATTCCAGAGCCACAGGCATATGGAGCAAATACCTTTACCAGGGAAACTGCAAGAAAGGCAAAACTCAAGGCCCAGAAGATATACATTATGTAGTTCATGATATAAGAACCAGGACCCTAAAAAGAAAATAGTTCAAGAGTATGAATTTAATTTACACTGAACCTCTAATGCAAATGCTTGCCATAAGAAACTTAAGTAAATGGCCAGGCATGGTGGCTCATGCCTATAATCCTAGCACTTTGAGATGTTGAGGCAGGTGGATCAGCTGAGGTGAGGAGTCCGAGACTAGCCTGGCCAACATGGAGAAACCTGTCCCTATTAAAATACAAATATTAGCCAGGCATGGTGGCGCATGCCTGTAACACCAGCTACTTGGAAGGCTGAGGCAGGAGAACTGAACCTGGGAGGTGGAGGTTGCAGTGAGACGAGATCATGCCACTGCACTCCAGCCTGGGCAACAGAGTGGGACTCAATCTCAGAAAAAAAAGAAAGAAAGAAAAAGAAAAGAAACTTCAGTAAAATGTGTAAACGTTTCCTGGTTTATTTCCACAATAATAAAAGCTTCATATGAACAAAGTATTTAAGTAGAATCCAAAAATTCATGTCTATATATACCAAGGAGCCTTGAGCCCATTTAATCTTTTTCCTAATCCCTAAAGTCTTGTTACCAAGATATCTCAGCTATACTTCACCTCTGCCTACAAACCACTTTTTGGAACCAGTGGTGGAAACAAATTACATCAGCATTCAGATTTCATTCTGCTGCAACTTTCCAGATCATTAAATAAAACTCAAGCCAGGTGAGAAACAGCATACTACTCATTTACCACAAATATATACTTTTTAGCTCTAAAGTTCAGCTAAAACAAAATTTTAAAAATATATCCATATGTCGTCTTGTAAAAAATATACCTATGACATCCTAAGTTCTAAACTTAGAATGTCATAAGTTCTTTGTAGATCACGGTAAATTAATCATTTAAATGCTGTAATGCCACAAATAAAAATCTCTGATTTTCTTTAAAGTATCTCTACTTAGAGGGTTGATTTTACTAAATTATTTGATAATCATACTTTCATAATTGACTTACCAATCTTAGTAATATATTTGTTTCAATAACTTGACTTCCTAGTAACTTTACACAGATCCTACTGCAGTAACTATCACTTCTTTTCTACTACAGCTCAAATATATTTGCATCACAATCCAGTGGATTTGTTATATAACTATGTAGTTAACTAATACAAAAGCTTCTTGAAACAATACTACACTTAATTCTTTCTTGCTGCAATGTGTTCAGGTGGATCCATTTAATGTGGATGCAATCATCTAATATGTGATTAATCCTATAGTTAAATGAATTGAAAACATTTTGCTATATCAATCATTAATTCATCTTGAGACAAAGCAAGACTGACCTCTGCTTGACCGATGATTAATTCTGCCCACGTTTTCCACTGCGGACATTTATCCCTCTCTTCAAATGTTGTTTCATTAGATCCCCAGCAGCACTGCTCGTGGTTGTACCACAACGCACTAAGGCAAATGCCCTCCTTTAGGTCAGTCATCCAATCGGCAGCAATGTCTATTAATCCGGCCAACGCCCCTGCAAAATAGGTTGGAGATGACCAAAAAGGGATGTCAACTTCTTGGGAGTTGAGAACAATCTAGTTAAAAGGCAAGTGGAAAGCAGGAGACTCCTAAATAAAGGGTCATTTAAGAACCACATGGCCAGGAGTGGTGGCTCACGCCTGTAATCCCAGCACTTTGGGAGGCCAAGGTGGGCAGATCACGATGTCAGGAGTTCGAGACCAGACTGGCCAATATGGTGAAACCCCATCTCTAATAAAAATACAAAAATTAGCCATGCATGGTGGAGTTCGACTAGAGTCCCAGCTACTCAGGAGGGACTGGGACTTTAAAATATAAACATATATCTTAAAACTGTAAAGAGCTTTTTACAATGAAATTGCCATTTTTGTTTGGAATTTTAAAAAGTTACATCATTCAAATTAATTGTGATCCGAAAAACAGTGTTTGAAAGATACTGAAATATCTTCAAAAACAGCTACTTGGCAGGAGGTTCACAAATCTAATTTTCAATCCATAACTTAATTAACAGACTTATAAATGATGTCAATGTCATGAAAATTTAATGTCCATTAGAAATAATTATTGAAACTCATAGGATTCATATTTACAGTTTTTTCTTAAATTACAGAAAACCATGTATCAAGATTATTTTACTGTGAGAATATAAAAAATACACAAATTTATGGTCAAATCTGGGTCCTTCTTCTCACATAAAAATATCAGTGGGTTACATACACAGAGGCCATAAAATTATTATGCACACCAATTAGAATTATCAGTACTTCCCTCTATTCTCTACACAACTTTTAATTTTTTTGTGGTCTTCTGAACATAATCTTCCATCATGGAAGCTGAAAGTGATTATAACAATGCTTAACATTTGTTTTCAGGTCCTCAGCAGTGATTTCTTAAAATCTCACACATTGGAACTTTGTGGTCATGCTGTGTAACAACAGGGTGATGGAGGGAATAAACTCTTGAGCAAAACGGCTTTAATTCAAATCCTGGCTTGGCCACTTACTAAGCTGTAACACCTCAGTCAGACTAAGCTGCTTTTCTTCTGCTTCAGTCCCCTCATCTGTAAAATGGCGATAATGACAGCACTGGTACCATAGGATTGCCGTGAGGCTGAAACACATGCACAGTTTTTAGAACAGTGCACAACACATAGGAAGCATTCCATAAATATTGGCTATTTATGATGATCTTAACATCAAAAGATACTTTACTGATCATCTGATCCAAACCACTTATTTTACAGATATGGAAATTGAGCCCAGAAAGATCAACCAAGCTGGATAAACACTTAAAGTGACAGAGCCAAGACTAGACTTGGAAGCCTCCTGCCTCCTAGTCTTATATTTAAGAAGATGTTTTGAAGAAGAGAAACAAATGCTTTATAAAATCCAACGGTAGCTGAAAAAGAAACTGAGAGAAGGAGGAAAGAACAATTTATACTTCTGTTAACTAAAAAAGGATTGCTTGAAAAATGTTCTTTACCTGATGCCAATCCTGTTAGTGTTACTACTAGCCATCCTGACCACGCATCATACAAACTTTTTGTCATTTCCCATGCTGATTCTTTCTTTTTGCTGTTGATCTGAAATTAGAAATGTTTATGCTTCATTTTTCAAACTATGAATAGAAGCCACAATTCTAGAATCTAGCAATTCTTCTCATTTACCATACATAGAACAGTAATTTCTGAACTAAATAATGGAAAAAGTAAGTTTGGGGCAAAATTACATTATACACAATTGTTATACATGTAAACCAGATGACATGTCTTTACCAAAGATCTGCATGTATTTTTTATTAAAAAGTTTTTTTTTTCTTTTAATAAATAAGATATGGCCTCGCTATGTTGGCCAGGCTGGTCTTGAACTTCTGAGCTCAAGTGATCCACCCACCTTGGCCTCCCAAAGTTCTGGGATTACAGGTGTGAGCCTGAGCCACTGTGTCCAACCAAGATCTGCATTTTAATAAGAATCCTGAGATTTGAGTGCAAAGGGTGCACAAACTACATAAAATCTGACCTAGATTGTTTCAAATATTAGCAAATTTGAACTTCAATTGGTACACATAGCTATCTTTTATATATGTCTTCTGTAAGATAATATGGTTTGAATTGTCTGTCATTCTCTGGTCCTAGCAGGTAAGTAGATTATAATGTTCTTTAAAAGATAGAGTCTGTGTATAAACCATGCCCATAGATACAATGTATTACTGAATAATCATGTGGACAAAGGGACCCCCTAAAACTTATAGGCCTTTTAATATGCAGGCTTGGAGCGCTCCGATCCCATTGGTAGAGTCCAGGGGCTCTTTCTTTACAATGTAAGGCAAAAGTGTCCTCTACTGGATATAGTGTAGGAAGTTGGGAGATTAACAAGAGGGTAATAGATTTGATCCAGATCTCACTATACTAAAACACAAGAAGGTACGTCTCACCTCTGTTACTAAGAATATACTTCCAAACCTATCCCTAACTAGTCCACACCTCTTCTGTTCTACTAGGATTGTTGCTTTTAAAAGCCGTTTTCTCAGCCCAGGACTTCAGTGCTCAACTGTTCTGAAGGAGGGCTACAGCTGGAATTCAATGACCCAGTCTATTTCAAGCATCAGGTCTATTTAAAGTCACAATTCCCCACTAAAATGATACAGTAAGTTCTAAGTTGAATGGTGATTTTAATTCTTCTATCCTTTAAGCAACCAAACACAGATATTAACCATTCTTTAGAATTAGAAATAGATTACTTCTTTCAAAAATAATCACTAAACCCCATGCTGCTTTTCCTCAATAAAAATAAACGTAATGTGTAAGAAAACATGATGATATTCAGACTGAGTCACTGCTGTTTTCTTTATACGATTAATTAGCACAGCACCAAAGTGAGGCCTTGAAGTAGCTGCTTGATAGAGTATACCAAGTAAAAAAGATACATTTGCCGGGCTGCGGTGGCTCAAGCCTGTAATCCCAGCACTTTGGGAGGCCGAGGCGGGTGGATCACGAGGTCAAGAGATCGAGACCATCTTGGTCAACATAGTGAAACCCCGTCTCTACTAAAAATACAAAAAATTAGCTGGGCATGGTGGCACGTGCCTGTAATCCCAGCTACTAGGGAGGCTGAGGCAGGAGAACTGCCTGAACCCAGGAGGCGGAGGTTGCGGTGAGCTGAGATCGCGCCATTGCACTCCAGCCTGGGTAACAAGAGCGAAACTCCATCTCAATTAAAAAAAAAAAAAAAAATTTACAGAGAGGTCAATCATCACTGTTCCTAACAAAAATCTGGAAATCATTGTTCATCAATGTAGCATCAGATAAATAAACTGCACTCTACCTATGTAATGAAAAATTCTGCAGCAATTAAAAAGGAATAAGATAGGTGTAGTGTTACACAGGAAAAAAAAGCAAGATGGCTAAAAGTATGCTAAAAGACAGGAATATAAATATATATGCTTATATTTTTAAAAATCAGAAGCTAAACCATGAAGTTAAAAATGTAAATTATTACTTATAAGGGGAAGAAGAAAATAGGTTGGATGGGACAGAGATAGAAACCACACTTCTCTGAACATACCTGTTTTGTACATTTAACTTTGGAACCATGGAAATAGTTCATATATTTATATATAAAAAAACTAAATCTAAAAAGCAAAACTAAAAATTGAAGTAAAATTAAATGAATCTAAGGTGCATCTAATTGGTAGCATAATGACACAGAAGAAACTATTCAAAGGGACTTTACAACAAAGTAATTTGTATGAACAACTGTGGCGGATTAAATAAAGAATAGGCCAGACACAGTGGCTCACACCTGTAATCTCTGCACTTTGGAAGGCAAAGGCAGGAGGACTGTTTGAGGCTAGGAGTTTCAGAATAGCCTGAGTAACATAGCAAGACCCAGTCTCTTTAAAAAAAAAAAAAAAAAAAAAGAGTAGCCAGGAATGGTGGTTTGTACCTGCAGTCCCAGCTACCCAGTAGGCTGGAGGCAGATTACCTAAAATTTTTCAGTAGACATATTGTTGGTGATGGTGTTGGTACACTTATTCTGACAATGTTGTAGGTGTGTATTGTAGGGTAAATGAAATGACTATGTTCGCGATGGTCAAATTTTGTCATGACTTAAAGGAAACGCAGATGTGAGAACTAGCAGTTTAGTCCTACAGTTATGAATTTAAATTAGAAGAATCATGTAAACTTAGGAGGCTAGAAACAATAGGCAACCCAGAAGTAACAAGTACCACTTAGTGCCCAGATTGTATCTATATTATATTTTTCTTCAGTGGAATCAGGGCTCCTTGGAGAAATGGCTGATTCCAGGTTTGCTGCAGGAAATGTCTATGATGAATTAGGATTAGGATTATCTAAGGACATGTCAAAGGACACATATTATAAACTAAATAAGCTCCCACTAATCTAAAAAGAATATGAAAATCAATAAGGATAATAACTGTGATGATTAAAACACAAATATACTTAAATCCGTGAGTCCATGAAGACAGAGAAACAAACAACAGGCAAGCAAGCAAAACATCTCATTGGTCAACTTAGAGTTTGCTAAGGAACCTAGTATTTCAAGATTACTCCCTTCCCTGTACCATCTGTACTTCAGGGAATCCAAATGGTTGATGTGGGGTAAACTCCCCACAAAATATGGAAGCTAATAAATAAAAATGGAACAACAATTAAAACTGCAACCATTTTGTAAAATACTGAAATAGCAATATTTGAAATTACAGAATGTCAATTTGCTTCAAAATAATCTGAGATAGGAAGGCTACAAGTATAACAAAAAAGTTCACTGAAAAAAAGAATTAGGTTGGGTATATGCATTGACATAGAAAGACTTTAAAATTTAACGTAGGCCCAGTGCAGTGGCTCCCACCTGTGATCCCAGCACTTTGGGAGGCCAAGACAGGTGGATTACTTGAGGCCAGGGGTTTGAGATCAGCCTGGTCAACATGGCGAAACCCCATCTCTACTAAAACTACAAAATTAGTCAGGCGTGGTGGTGCACACCTGTAACCCCAGCTACTTGGGAGTCTGAAGCATGAGAACTGCTTGAGTCTGAAGACAGAGGCTGCAGTGAGTTGAGATCACACCACTGCACTTCAGCCTGGGCAACAGACACCTTGAAGGATCCCTGAGACTCTTTTCAAGGGGTCTGAAAGAGAAAACTGTTTACAAAATATACAAGACATTATGTATTTTTTTCACTGTGTTGACATTTTTACTGAAAATGCAAAACCAATGGCAAAACCGCTGGCTCCTTAGCAAAAATCAGGCAGTGTCATTCAAATGTAATGACAGTCATTACACTCGTGACTGCCATGCTTCCCGGTAAAATCAAATACATAAATAAGTAAAACGCCAGTTTCAAATAAGAGCATCTTTGATGAAGTAGTAAAAACTGCAATGCCTCAATCACTCAGTGTTTTTAATATTTTGTGTGATGACATAAGAACTATGCATAAGGAACTAGGCATAACTATACATATCTGCTGCATGTGGAAGTGTGAAGTTATGTCCTAAAGAAAGGCACTTGTATAATTTATTTGAGTAGCAAAATAAACTAGACCCTTACATGGAATACCATTTTTACTTGAAAAAGTGACACCAAACTATGGTTTTTCAGACTTGGGAATCTGACAGATATTTTCTCAATAATGAAACCAAGTAATCCCGTCATTTTTAAGTAAAATAAATGTGTATTTGTTTCTAATGATAGAATTTGAGTTATTTGGTAAAAATTAGAATTTTAGGAAACTTGTATCCATCACTGTGAGGATGAGAGGTTCCCAATATTTAGAGACTTTTCTGAAGAGATCGAAGGTAAAATTAACAAATGTGATTTTTAAAATATTATATCCTATAATAAAAGTGTCAACATTTAAAAGATCCACATAGATCAGTGAATCAGTATTTTCCAAATGATCATTGCATGTTATAAAATCACATATTCAAAGTTCAAGGTTCAAAATCAATGGATTTTAATGTAACAGAAGACAAGGTTCATTGTTGCAGTTTCAAAGTACACATTACAACTAATCTTTAAGAAACTAACAACTGTTCTTTTAATGTAGTATCAAAAAAGAATATTTGCAATAATTTTAAAAGACTATGAAAATACTCATTGCTTTTCCAACTATATTATCTGTGTATGAGGTATCTAATATGGTAAATATCTGTTGATAAAAACCACATAAACAAAGGCACCATGGGGTTCTTCAATATTTTTTTAAGAATTTAAAGGGAATCTGAGAGCAAAAAGTTTAAGAATCACTGGATTAAAGCACCGATTTCATGTACTTATTTTTAGATATGCACTGAACATAATTATCATCTGATGAATCTCAGAAGCTGTACCTTTCATAAACAATATAATGTAATTTCAATTTCAGGTTTCACACCCATATGTACATTAATACAGAAGCTTGTAATTAATCTGTGTAAACAGTCATTTTCATTGACAAGTAGATTTCCAACACCAAAATTATACAGGACCTTCTGAGATTTGGAATTTTATTTTTCAGAAAGATTTTCTACTTTGGGAGGCTGAGGTCAGCGAATCACTTGAGGCCAGGAGTTCAACTAGTCTGGCCAAAATGGTGAAACCCCATCTCTACTAAAAATACAAAAATCAGCTTGGCATGATGGCACAGAATTGTAATTCCAGCTACTCAGGAGGCTGAGTATAGGAATCGCTTGAACCTGGGAGGCAGAGATTGCAGTGAACCAAGACTGCACCACTGCACTCCGGCCTGGGCGACAGAATGAGACTTTGTCTCAAAATATATATATATATATTTTGTTTCTTAAAAAACATATTTTGTATAAAAACTAGCCATGAGACATGGTAGCGCACATGTTTGTAGTCCTAGCTACTCAGGAGGCTGAGGCAGGAGAACCACTTGAACCTGGGAGGCAGAGGTTGCAGTGAGCCAAGATCACACCACAGCACTCCAGTCTGGGCAAAAGAGTGAGACACTGCCTAAATAAATAAATAAATAAATAAACAAATAAATTTTTAAAAATGTACTTTGGATTACATTTCCAATAAGTCACGACCATAAACAAAAAGGATCCATACATTGTACTTTAATATGTTAAACCCATTTAAAAAAAAACAGTTAGCAAATCATTGTAACACTCAATAAGCTTTATTTGGGATCCAAGTTGAGAAATATCTCAGAATCAAACACTGGGAAAGGGAATGTAAGAAAACAGCAAAATCCCAGAAAACTGTCTGCCCCCAGTAGATTTCTTCTATTTCAACAGTAAGAGTTATGCAGCGAGTTTCCTTTTTTGCCTTAGCTGCTGAGCTGCTCAAAGCCAAAAATCATGCTGACCTCCATATCTTGAATTTGCCCTGTTCTTCCCCCAACTCCTGTACTGTATTTTCCCCTTTCCTTCTGATTGTATTTCCTGGTTTTTTAGCTACCTAAATTCTTTCTGGGAAGATATGGGGTCTGAGTAACCTAAAAAAATTAAACACAGGAAAAAAGAAAAGAACATGTATCACATATGAAATGTAGACAGTTACTTATATTAAATGTAAACATATTTTGGCAGCCTGAGATCACTGGCAGAAATACATTATTAAATGATCTAATTATATACTATATTTTTTAAAATTACTAAAAACACTTACCCGTCTGTGCCTTTCTCTGTCTTTACATTTTTCTCGCACCCAATCAATAGTATGGAAATCATCATATGTACCAACACCTGGAATTGGTTCATCCAAAAGATCCAGTAAATGCGTAGAACTGTTAATGCTGCCTCCATTTGTCATTGTATAATGAGTTCCTACAGAGGAAAAAAGGAAAGTATGTTTTAGAAGAGACAATAGTGAGCTATGTGACCTTCTTAGAAGTTCGTTATTAAGTTATACAGAAATATTACTTGAAATCATTTCAATTAGAGAAAAATGTTAAGAAAAATTATCCAAAACTTGGAAATAAAGGCAAAAGATTATGGCATGTCCTTTTAGAGTCAAACCCAAGTATCAACAATTTGCTTAACAGTCACCTGATTCTTTGGAGAATTTTGAATGACTATTTACTACTGATTAGGGAAAACATTGTAAAATTAGAAAATGTCCTGTAAAAGATAAATTGAAAATCTTATTTTTTACCTGGTAAAATGCAAATGAATTCTGTCCCATAGAAGAATAGACCTTAGAGTTGTGGTGTTGTTTTCGCCCTGTAAGAATTTGCTTTCTTTCAATGAGGCTACACTTCAGGCTCATACATCCTCCTCTCAATCAGCCTTGTCATCGGGCTAGTTCCCGCATTAGAGTCAAATAAATCTTTGACACATGTTCACTACCTATCTTATATGAGTAACAAAGGCTGGAGAAATGTATCAGGAAGGACATTAAAAGGCAGCTCAAGAAAAAGAAAGACAAGTGGCTTTTACATATGAAAATAAGCTCAATCTAACACATAAAAACAAATGCAAATCAAATCCACAGTATCATTTTCCTCCAGCAGATTAGTAAAGACAAAGTGTGTGAATGCACTAAGTTAGCAGAGCTATGGTAAAGGAGGCCCTATCACAAAATTAGTAGTTTAAATATGAACTGGAATAATCCCTTTGGGAAGGCAAAAGCTAACAAAATTTAATACACACAGATGCTCTACAACCTAGCAAGTTCACTTCTACGTTTTTTTCTTGCAGCCACACTTGCATAAATCCTTGAATAAATCTATAAATTATGCACAATGTGGGCAGAGCATCTTACTATATGCTATACAAAAAACAAAACAAAACATATTAATGCCAAAGTGTTTATGAGCTAAAATGGGTTGGCCAACAGCCAGAGAATAAGTATTTTAGGCTTTGGATGCCACACAGTTGCAACAACTCAATTCTACCATAGTAGCACAAAAGAAATCATAGACAATATGTACATGAATGAGTCTGAATGTGTTCCCGTAAAACTTTATTTACAAAACAGGTGAAGGACAGGATTTGGCACATGACTCATAGTTTGCCAATCCCTGATCTAAAGTCTGTACAGCAGACTTTACAACTGAAGACTTCTATTAAGAATTTTTTTATATAAATAGCACTTTCCTATACAATGTAGGGGGTACAAATAATAATAATAAACTGTCCCTGACTTCCACATGCAATATAATATTTTTATAACAAATTACATTTCAAAACAAAGTTCAAATATTGAAGTTCCAAGGTTCCAATATTCTTTCACTATAAATTTAGCGATGTTACCTATAATTTGTTAAAAAGAAAGAAATCTTGAGTCTGTAGTGCCTTGAACTAGGTGGGCTTAACCTAAGAAAATTTGCTAAAAAAATATAAATTTTCAACTGTAATTTGAAATAAATTAGGCTACGGTTTCACAATGAGATACATTCCATGCTAGATACACTTAACACCTATTTCTGAAAGAAGAAACATATGATATGAGTATAGTCTGTAAAAGACAATTTATATTACTGTTAGAAAAAGAGTTTTTGGGCCAGGCGCAGTGTCTCACGCCTGTAATTTCCAGCATTTTGGGAGGCTGAGATAGGTGGATTGTTTGAGCTTAGTAATTTGTGACCAGCTTGGGCAACATGGCAAAACCCCATTTCTGCTAAAAATATAAAAAAAGAGCTGGGTGTGGTGGTGGCATGCGCCTGTAGTGCCACCTATTCAGTAGGCTAAGTTGGGAGGATTGCTTGAGCCCAGGTTGATTGAGGCTGCAATAAGCCGTGACCGCACCACTGCATTTCAACTTAGGCCACAGAGCAAGACACTGTCTCAAAAAAAAAAAAAAAAAAAAAAAAAAAAAAAAAAAAAAAAAAAAAAAAAAAAAAAAAAAAAAAAGAAAAGAAAAAAGAGTTTAGAGTATAAAAAACAGACTGGGTAAGGAATACGATAAACCGAGTGAAAATTATTAGACCTGACAGTGGAAGTAAAGAGATACAAGCATTTTGGGAGGCAATTTGGAAATACCTATCAAAATATAAGGGTTCTACTTCTAGGAATTAATTCACAAGTGCACAAAGACTTATATTTCGTTGAAACATTATTTGTAATACTGAAAAATTCTAACCCATGGAAATGTCTTATCTATTGGTAATGAATTATGTACATTTATGCAATGAAATATAATGCAGCAGTAAAAAGAATAAGGTTGATCAATATATACCTATAAAAAGTTGGCTACAATATATCGCAGTTTTTAAAAAAGGGTCAGGTGTAGATTAGCATTTTTAATATGTAAATTACTGTGTAACATTTATTTTGGTTTAAAAATTATGCTTCACAGGTATGCTCATGAATACAGAGAAAACGGTAGGATCAAACTTGAGACAATATATTAATAAAGGTTATCTCTGGGGACCAGAATTGTTAAAAGCAGAAAATGAACTTTCACTTTCTACTTTGTACTTACTATACATATATGTATAAGCACACACACAATATTTTCATAGGACCATGGATATAGCTATGAAAATATAGAGAAATTCTAATGAATCCAATCATCATATAAGTAAACAGAGCAACAAACTGTTACCAAAACGGCCAGCTTCTAGTCCTAGACAGCTGAGTAACTTTAAACAAGTTACCTTTAAATACTAAGTATCTATCAGCATCCTTGACAACTATATGATATATACTACAGCTTATAATAAAGATATATAAGCAAAGAAACATTTACATTTTTTCCAAAGCACTATAAACTTTGAAAACCTCATACATAATTTCAAATAGGTGATTTTAGCATAAGTGATTATAAATTATATGCTCAAATTATTTTATAATATAGATTTTAATGCCAAAAATTACCTAGAGATTACTGAAAATTATTTGATATAGAATATAAGAAGTAGCACTCTATACTAATGTTTTAAAAAATTGGAAAAATAAAACACACGACATGTTTATTTTATTATAGAACTTTTAAGAAATGGAGCAAAATTCCCAGACTACTCTTGCCGTCTTTCTGGTTTGAATGAACTCATTCTCTTCTGTTTACAGATAAAGAAACAATTACGTATGTTAAAGCCAGAATCTGAACTTTTCTTAATCGCTGTAAACATTCTTTTTTTTTTCAGACGGAGTCTTGCTCTTTTGCCCAGACTGGAGTACAGTGGCATGATCTTGGCTCGTTACAACCTCTACCTCCTGGGTTTAAGTGATTCTCTTGCCTCAGCATCCCAAGTGGCTAGAACTACAGGTGCCTACCACTATGCCTGGCTAATTTTTGAATTTTTAGTAGAGATGATGTTTCACCGTGTTGGCCAGGCTGGTCTTGAGCTCCTGACCTTGTGATCCACCCTCCTCGACCTCCCAAAGTGCTGGGATTACAGGCGTGAGCCACCATGGCCCATCAATATAAACATTCTTAGACTAGAGCAAGAAATTATTTGAAATCAATTTGGGGGTAGGATAAGGGAGAAGTGCACAAAGAACCATGATGCCAATACTATCAACTAATTTTATTACTGCTGAGATATAAGTCAAATAAATTATTGAGTAGGTTTTTTTTTTTAAATAATTCTAAGAGGTAGTAAGAACAGGACATGAATATAGAAGGGGCTAGTATTTTAAACAATGTAACAGTAATAATAAATGTTTGTTTGCTTCTATCAGATCCAACAGGATTCTCACTTATCTCCTCATTTATTAAACTTAAATGTCTGCCTTGGAAGCCGGGAGTGGTGGCTCACGCCTGTAAACCCAGCACTTTGGTAGGCTGAGGAGGACGGATAGATTGAGCTCAGGAGTTAGAGACCGGCCTGGGCAACATGGCAAAACCCCATCTCTACAAAAACTAGCTGAGCATGGTAGTACGCACCTGAAATCCCAGCTACTTGGGAGGCTGAAGTGGGAGGACTGCTGGAGGCTGGGAAGTAGAGAATGAAGTGAGCTGTGATTGCACCAATGCACTCCAGCCTGGGCGACAGAGCAAAACTCTGCCTCAAAAAAACAAAACAAAAAGAAGGTGTGCTTTGAAAAGGTGTAAAACTTCTGGCAGTGGCTCACACCCAGCACTCTGGGAGGCCAAGGACGGCAGATCATGAGGTCAGGAGTTCAAGACGAGCTTGGCCATCATGGGTGAGACCCCGTCTCTACTAAAAATCCAAAAAATCAGCCAGGCATGATGGTGCACACCTGTAATCCCAGCTACTAGGGAAGCTGGAGCAGGAGAATTGCTTGAACCCAGGAGGCAAAGGTTGCAGTAAGCTAAGATCATGCCACTGCACTCCAGCCTGTGTGACAGAACAAGACTCCATCCCCCTCGCCAAAAAGAAAAGGTGTAAAACTTCTAAAAAGAGAGTAGTACACTGACTTCAGTGTTTTAGCAGAAGTACTCCAAGAATAAATAATTTATATCATTCTTGGCCAACGGTTTAAAGGCCCAATCCCTGCATCATGATGCCCGTGTTCATTTATATACAACACATATTCAAAAGCTTAAACTTAGAGCTTTAATAAAGCTCTTCCCTGCCCCCCATCCTAATTTTATGTAGTAACTTCCACTTTGTAAAAGCTACCTGAAAGGCCACACATTTTCTTGAGAAAAAGCAATTGGAGAAAAAATATAACAGGAACTTTTATAATGTGAGAATCTGACTCTGCTCTCTATATAATATTAAAAGTGATATTTAGAAAATGCATTTGCAGGGAAGAATCAAAACCTCTTACAGCTTTCTGGTAAGACGTACAGTATTTCTATGGTATTTTGGCCAAAAAATGCATAAAATGAATCTTGTAAGGAAAAACCAGACACACCCAAACTAAGGGAAATTCTGCAAAATAAATGGATTGTATTCTTCAAAAATGTCAAG